TCTGTGAGCATCTTGATAATCATTACTTTAAACTTTTTGTAGTAGATTGCTTGTTTCTTTTTCTTTTTCTGAAGTTTGTCATGTTCAGTTTGTCATGTTCCTATGTTTGAAGCATATTCCTGTTCTTCATTTTGTTTGACTCTGTGTTCGTTTCTATAGGTTAGGTTAAAGGGCTACCTTTCCGAGGCTTGAAGGCATGGCCTTGAATAGGAACGTCCCCTGGGTAGATTGTGCCTTGTGGTTTTCGCTGGTTGGCTGGAGGCTGGGTGGGCCGGGATGTCCTGGTGCTGGGACTCTCAGGGTGTGGGCCAGGGTCTGTCAGGTAGGCAACAGCCAGAGGGGCCCACACTGTGGGATGGGCCCGTGTCAAAGGGTCATAGTCTGGGTGGCTCCTGGGTAGGCAGTGGATTGGTACCTTGGTGGCAGAGCAACTGGGCATGAAGGGGCACTGTCCAGGGGTCTTCTGTGTGGGCTCCGGGACTGTGCTAACGCAGTGGCTGGGGTTGGTGAACACAGTCCAGGGGCTCCCGGGGTGGAAGGGGCACAGGCAGGGTGAATACACTAGTGTGCTAGTGTCACCTTGGTGGGCCTGCTGGAATCCTGACAGGCGTGTCTGTGTGTGGGTGAGGGCTGCCTCTGCCTCATCTGGAGCTGGAGTGTGCATCCCCACCCTGCTCCTGTCTGTGCTGTCGTGCCAGTATGCAGGGGGAGTGTAAACGATGTTGCTCACCCTGCTCCCGTCCACACTAGTTACTTCCTGGGGGGAATGTGAACCGTGATGCTCATCAGCACCTGTGGTCTTAGAGTTTTAGCAGTTCCCGTGCCATTTGGTGGGTGCTTTAATTCTGAAAATCAGTTTCCTTCACAAATAGCACAGCTGCCCCTTAAACCAGATTCCACCAGAATTCAGTGCTCCCTAAATCCCTAGACCCCAGGCCTCATGTTGAGCCCTCAGCACCGGGACACACGATCTGCCTTTGCTGTGCCTTCTCACTCCCCAGGCTCTTACCCTGGGGACTTGAGGGTGCAGCCTGGGACCTGTCTCTTCTCTGCCTTGTGGTCTCTTCCCAGCTCCATAAACACTGATGACCCAGCCCCCACCTCAGCCCTCTGCCCTGGGCTCAGCTGCTCACATGTCTAGTCGGGGTTCCTCCAAAGGCTGGGTGGACTGTCAGGACCAGAAGCACTGGGGTGCTTGAGAATGAGATCCCCGAGCCACGCCAGCCTGTGGATCAGGACCCGTAGGGACGGGTGGACGAGGCCTTTTATCAATTTCCTGGGTGACTTAGGTACTGCAGAGTCTGAGGACTGCTGCACAAGGGGTCATCTCAAATAGAACAAAACTGGATGCCCTGCCCTGCTACGGCAACAGCACTTTCCACCCGCTCAGAGAACAGAGACCCAAGCAGTTTCCACACCCTGAGCTAAATCAACTTTAGCAAGGCCATGCTGCCTCATTCTGGTTCCCATATAATAAAAATATTTCCCAAAAACCGAGACTCCCGTGTTAAGGTGGTTTTAGCCCTTTTGCTCAGCTGATGTACAAAGATGAGTTGTGACCTTTGGGGCTGGCGTAAGTGTGTAAGAGACCAAGGCTGGGTCTTGTTCAACACATCAACAAATTGTTGAAAACACTGTCAAATCTGGATGATCAAAGCTAGGAGGGGTGGCCTCACATGCCTAAGCAAGCCTTTCTAGCTAGGCTAAAACCACCAAACAGAAGGTAACGGAGAACTGTCAAGTTAAAATGCTCAGCAAGAGGCCAACATCTAAGGTGGCCAAATGCATTCTCGTGTTCTGGACAAGTCACGGGCCCTATGTGGAATCATTGAAGTTGCCGGGAGCTTCGTGTGCAGTTGGGGGAGTCATACCATGCTAGGACCCCAGGCGAAGGAAATGGTGCTGAATAAGAGAAAAATGAGGGGTCAGGTCAGGACACTCACAGTCTAATACTTCTCATCCAGTCTCATGGACAGGAAGAAGAAAAAGAAGAACATGGCAGCAGGGGCTGAGCCCAGAGCAGGAGAAAGGACAAGGAAGGGGACCTGGGATCCAGGTGGGGAAACTGGCTTCCCACCAAAATGGGCACTGAACAGACCATGGCAGGGGCAGAGGGTGCATGCTGGGGTTCCCCCCACAGGAGCCAGGGGTTGTTTGAACACGATTTGTGTATTTGCTTACTTAGGTTGCTCTGCAAAATGAGAAAGAAGCCACATCCTTTCCACAAATTAATACACATGCCACAGCAACACTGCTCTTTGAGTTTTGGAAACCTGGAGGAAGTTCCTAGTGTCCTTCACAGATGGCTTAGAGGAGGCTTTCCCATCCTAGACCCCGTACAGCCCCCGCCTCCTACATCCAAACGCTGGGGAAGGGCAGCAGGTATGGTGCACACCAGCCTCCTCTGCAGCCCAGACATCCCAAAGGCAGAGGATAGCCATGTTCTTTGGTGAATTCAGGCTATTCTGTGGGCCAAGCCCCACGCTACACATGAGGTGCTCTTGTCACCCCTCCCCACACCCGCCACACTGAGCCTGAGGCCTGCCTGCCTCTCTCCTGGCTTTTCCAGGTGTGACCTTGAGACCTTAGTGATGAGAGAGCTCAGCAGGGAGACTGCTGGCTGTTCCTCAGCGTGGGTGCTGCCTCTCAGAAGGCCAACCCTGGAAGGGGGTTGTCCTTGGGGACGGAGGTCTGGAGAGGCCAGACCATGGCCTGGTGGAGCTCTGCCAGCCCTCGGGTCCTCAGGCCTGGTCCTCAGCTGCTGGTTCAGTGCTCCCTGCCACCCAAACCTACATGGTTCTGGGGCCTCACTCTGCCCTACACCTTCGATGATGGGGGCTGCTGAAGACGGGGGCCAGGAAGACCTGTTGCCTGGGGCAGGTCTCGGAGGGAACAATTCCTGTAGCAGTTGGGGCTAGGGTCCTGCATCCTCCTGTCGGGCCCCAGGTGGCAGATATGGACTATGACTGAACTCTGGAACATGCAGCTGGAACAACAGCCATTGGGACAGACTAGCCTGCCCCCTGCACCCAGGGTGGCAAGCAGAGGCCATCTCTCCCTGGGCAACCTTGGACAGGCTGGCCCTGTCCACCCCAGTGCTGCTCAGTTATGCTCACTGTCTTGGGCCACGAACCCCCAGGACTCACGTGGCAGAGGAGGCTATTTGGTGATAGATGAATGTACTGTAATAGTGTCAGCAGGGCATCCGTGGACACTCAAGCCCTAGACAGAGATCCCCACCCTGGAGCCCTCTCAGGGGTCTGCCCACTTCCCTCCTGCCCTGCGCGAGGCCAGGCCTCTGCTTCCACCCCTTTGTGGGATGGAGTCTGTGGGCTTTCAAATAGGAGACAGTAGTGGAGACAGGTGTAGGCCGCCGCCACCGCCTGCTCACCCTCCTGGGCTCAGGGCTATAAATACTCAGGATGCAAATGGTAGATGCTCAGGACATTTACCATAAATCACAGGAGGGTGACTGTGCGTCTTCAGGCCATGAGGTCTGGGAGCGGTGGGGGGTGGGGGGTGGGGAATTCAGTTCTTTAAAAAATAAAAGGGGAGAAAGACTAACCCACTGTGCTGGGAGAACCCCTTTCACAATCTGGCTTTGGGATGGGGCCTGGGGGTGCAGGACAGGTGCACTGTGGCGCATCTCAACCAGTCAGACCAGTGGATGCAAATGGCCAGGCCCAGGCCAAGGATGTCTCAGCCAGACACAAGGGAGGGACTCTTGCCCCTTCTGCTAGGTCAGAATGTTATTCCATGAGCACTATTATTTTAATAATGTTTTAATGAGTAATTTAAAGAGAGACCAGTGTTTTTCAAACTCGTGTGCTGTGAAGGTTCTTTTGGACTTTTCTGCGGACCTCGCATGTTGGTCCCAGCCCACATTAGCCCAGCAGAAAGTCCTCCCTGAAAGGACACGGGGTTTGGTGGGGGAGCCCCCAGTCACCTGAACTGCTCCCCATGTCCACAGAGGTAGGGTCTCTGGCCCAGGGGGCAGAGCACTGACCCTCCAACCAGTCCGATAGAAACCAGCAGACGCCATGTTCTCTTTCTCTCCTCACAACCCTGCGTGGGGTCCGGCCGGGGCAAATGGAAAGCTGGCTTGCCTCCTACCAAACCCTTCCCACCACCATTCTCATTCATTCTCTCGTACCACCAGGGCTTCAGAATCCTGTCCAGTAGTGACCAGCCAGGGTCAGCTTTGAGGAGGAGACATAGAAAAGTCCAAGCTGTGCTGAATGCTCTCTGAACCACTCCCTACCCCTTTCCAGAAACTCTTGAGCAAACACCAGGCACCAGGATGACTTCTAATTTAATACTGTGATAATAAAACCATGGTGGCATAGAACCATGAACTGTATTTTAAGTTCCTAGGGCCACTGATGAGCACTGAACTCCTGCTGGAGCTGCTGTCAGGACAAACCTTCAGAATCGATGGCTGCAGCTGCAAAAACAAGAGCATGGCCTGTGCCCGCTGCAGCCCCACGGCCAGCAGAGCACCGCCCGGCCGTGCCTGCCCTGGGTGCCTCGGCAGTGCCATAAAGGCAGGGGTAAAGTGGTAACACCCAAAAGCAACCACTAATGAGGAAAAACTGGAAGGAGACAAATTTAATTTCCTTTTCTTCTTCTGACACCTTTTTTCTCTGTCCAAAGGAGGTTCTTAACTGAAGTCCTCCATGGGGAACACGCCGTCTCTTTATTACCAAGTGGCCTCAGCACACAGGATGCTCTACTTTTTATTGCAGATTACACCTGCCTTTTTTACCTTGTTTCTAGGAAGGAGAAAGGATAAGTGATTACTATTTTGTTATCTTCTAAAAAAAAAAGGTGCTGTTGACTGGGTCGGTGCCACCCACACGGTGATTTGACAACTGGGGCAGCGACGTACTGCAGCGCAGTTTCCACACAATTCAAACACACATTTTTTTTTTTTTGCCAAGGAATCAGTCTAACAAACACCTCCCACTCTTGCTGAAAATAATTTCTTTTCCCAACTCTTCTAGGAATAAAACACTTTTAATGTATTTGTCAGGAATCGACACTTCATTTAATAAGATTTAAGAAGTGACAATTTAAAGAGCAATTGAGAAGAGTCCCACATCCATCATGGGCTCATGGTTCTAACTAAATCAGAAAACAAAATCAAACAAAAACAGAAAAAGCACTGAGACTATAGGAGAACAAGTGTGTGTGTATGAATGTGTGTTATTTGATTACACCTGTTTCACGTCCAACCCCTGCTTTTAAGACTGCCTGGCTCAGGGCTGCCAGCCCCACCTGGCACATGGCGCACACCAAAAGCGTTACAGTAAGGGGCCAGAGGCCGCAGCACCCTCTGTCCACCTCTGCTGAGGGTCAGGCCTCACCTGACCACTCCTCAAACCCACAGCACCCAGGCTGCATCCTCAGCTGCCTGTCCCCCTTGTGATTGCTCAGTCTCACACCCCACAGCTCCCAGGAGAATCAGCCTCCACCCGAGGCTGGGCTGAGGACGCCACAGGCCCTGGGAACCCTTACAGCTGCGCGCCAGCCTGCCTTACCATCTGCATTCCCATTTAGCACCGCTGTCTTCAAGGTTTGGGCCATTTTGGTCCAGCTGGCTACAGGGGAGAAGTTCTCTGTAGGACCAGCCTGGGCTTTGGACAATGCTTATCATGTGGGCGCTTTTCTTGGCTACCCACTCACCTCTCATTCCCCAGGGATCTGGGCCTTGCCCTAGGTGGGTGTTGTGTGACATACCTCGACCAGGTCTCCAGGCCCCCTCCAGAAGGAGGCTCAGCTGGGCATACAGACCCCGATCAGAAGGCCCATCAAAGAAGGCAGAGGCCTTGGCCTGGTAACGAGGCGAGAACAGGTTTTGCTAAGCTTTCTGAATGTCGACCAGCTCAGGCTTCCATGCAGGTGAGGCCTCCAGAAAGGGTCGAGACGCTGGGGAAGGTGGGCTGGTGGCCTCAGTGCAGATAAGGGATGAGGCTCCGGTGCCTGCTGCAGTCCCTCTGCCACACGTCTGTACTTCCCTCCTTATCTGAGGTGCTCAAGAGCGGGAGGGGGAAAACTCCATTCTCACCAGACAGGCCTCACAGTGTGTTAGCTGGAAGGTGCAAACACTGAGGGGAAGTCCCAGGAGAGAGGAGGGCGGGGGCGAGCCGTGGGCCAGGGGGACACAGATGGGGATCTGGTGCTGGGGCTTTCTAACTTGTGCCTTGTCAGGTTGGAAGCTGCACTGCCAGCCCAGCAGTTAGTTACCTGCACCTGGGCCAGCAGAACAGGGAGGTTCACACCTTCACCAGCCCAGCCCCACGACTCCAGGTAGTATTCGTGTCCTTACTGGACAGGTGACTCCACAGTGTAAAGAGAAGGCCCTGATTAGGTGACACCCCCATAACATGTGAGTCCCGCCCTCTCCTGACTTATCCGGCTGCTTTTGTTGCCTGCTGGGCAGAAAACCCACCGTGGAGGAAGTGCCAAGTGGACAGAATTCTTGGTGCTAATTGGCGACTGGGGGCTAGATGCTGACAGAGACAGGCTGAGCCACAGAGGGCAGTGCCCCACTGCTGGCAGGCAGCTGCACCCTCTGTACAGGAGCCATTAGGAAATCCGGCTCAGCCAGCACAGTGCGGGCTGGACAGAGCGCAGGGTGCTGAGGGCACCACCGGGGACTGGGAGCCATTGGCACGAGGGGGCACTGCCTTCCCAGCAGCTTTCTCCAGGACTCCCTCTCTCCCAGCCTGGGTTAAAAGAGAGACAGCCTTCCGACTGAGTCATGCAGTGTGCTGGTGCCCATATCTTCCAATGTTGATGAAGTGCTCAAAACTAAGTCACACGAGGAGAAAACACTCAGGTACCTGTACACACCCACAACCACTGTGCCTCCAAAACACCAGAAAGGAGCCCCTTGCAGGCCCCCTCTGAGCGGGAGCTCAGTGTGCGGAAGACCCACAGGGAACCGCAGGCCTCTGCCACTCTGCCCACAGGCGAGCTCCGGGCCCTGATCAAGCCACAGGGTAGGCAGCGCAGAATGCAGACCCCTAAGTCAGACACCTCAGCACCAGATGGAGCTGCAGTCGTCAGAGGCGATCATTCTGAGGATTTAGGAGACAAGCTTCTCAGAACTGTGCTTTCCGATCCCGGGTCGAGTCCTGTGGTCTGGGGGAAGCACTGCGACCACGAACAGCCACAGCGACCCGGCTTTGTATTCCAGACACAGACGGGCAGGGTAGCTGCCGTCCCTACCACTCTGCTAAAGTGTCCATTTGTGGATGGGTTCGGACCAACTGGAAGTTGCTATAGATTAATATATAAGCACTTCTGAATGTTAAATTAGCAGGTGGCATAACTATTTCCTTGTCAGCCTCCCAAGCTTAAAGGCTGGATACATTTCAGGAATGACAGGTTAATAACTCAGCAATTCGAGTGATTATTAATTCCACTGTCCACAGATTGATTTGCTCATTGTGTATTTTTTTGAACTTCCTCAAAGAATCTTTCTTGTCAGACCAGGTGCTGTGATGAGCCACATCTGTGCCTCATTTAGGAGATGTGCATGATATTTCTTGGCCCTGCCCCCTGCTTAACTGCTCAAAACTAAGGAAGGAAAATTACAGCGTCAAAAGGGATTAAAACAAGTGGTTTGCTATTTGGCATTTCAAACAGATCTGGAACACCTATGATTCAGCAAATGGGGAATAACTAAAAGAAATGAAAAAGCATCCAGTTGCCAGGGCAATGTGTTCCATAAAAGTAAACACTCTACAGAAACCCATCTCCCACAGGGTGCCTCCAGGTAATAAAGGCCTAATATATTCTCTTCCACTCAAGGGTTCACACGCCATTTTTGTATTGTGACGCGGGCCTGTCTATTACTTCCTTCTGTTCCTTTTGCCTGGGTTAGATTAGAGAGGTAGGGTATTAATGGTGGACTTGATGAAGATTGAAGACCAATTTTCTCCCCCTGGAGACTGGCCTGATTTGAACAAATTGAGGAGAACAAAGCAGCCCCTTTCTGTCCTTGGGAGAAAACCTGTTCTGTGTCTAGTCTGCAGCCAGGTCTGCTTCTCCCCGGAAGGGGGGCAGTCAATGTAGACCCCTTCTTGGGGAGGGCACCAGCTCCTGCCACCTGGAACCACCTAGGTCCCTCCACGTCTGCACCTCCTTTATTGGTGCTGCCGGGTGGGTGAGCGAGAATGGGAGCTGGGGCTGGAGGGCAGGGAGCTGCCACTGGGGGCCTGCAGGGCATGGGGGTCAAGCTGCTGACCAGCCAGGCTGGTGTCTGCTGTCCCCGATTCCTCGCTGATTTCCTCCTTCTGGCTGTTCTGCTGCTCCGGACACTCAAAGTGGACACAGTGGAACACCTGGTGGGAGAAAGACAAGACCCCATGAGGGATGGTCAGCATCTGACTCTGGAGCTGCCCCGAGTCAGGATCCTGTTCTGCCCAGCTCCAGGGGGCCCCAAAGGTGTCAGACAAGTCTTTGCCATGCCCCCTACCCTGGCAGCAGCTAGAAGTTGCAAGCACATTTCAATCAAGATAAAAATAAAGAGAACACTAAAATTCATATGGAACCACAAAGACCTTGAATAGCCAAGGCAATCCTGAGAAGGAAGAATAAAGCAGGGGGGATCTCACTCCCCAAGTTCAAGCTCTACTCCAAAGCCACAGTAATCAAGAAAATTTGGTACTGGTACAAGAACAGACCCACAGACCAATGGAACAGACTAGAGAGCCCAAATATTAACCCATATATACAAAGGGGAAATGACAGCCTCTTCAACAGCTGGTGTTGGCAAAACTGGACAGCTACATGTAAGAGAATAAAACTGGATCACTGTCTAACCCTATATACAAAAGTAAACTTGAAATGGATCAAAGACCTGAATGTAAGTCATAAAACCATAAAACTCTTAGAAGAAAATATAGGCAAAAATCTTTTGAATATAAACATGAACATATCTCCCTGAGCAAGGAAACAAAAGCAAAAATGAACAAGTGGGACTATATTAAACTAAAAAGCTCATGTACAGCAAAGGACAGCATCAGTAGAAGAAAAAGGGATCCAATAGAATGGGAGAATATATTCATAAATGACATATCCGATAAGGGGTTGACATCCAAAATATATAAAAAGCTCATGTGCCTCAACAATCAAAAAGCAAATAACCTGATTAAAAAATAGGCAGAGGATTTGAACAGACACTTCTCCAAAGAAGAAATTCAGATAGCCAACAGGCACATGAAAAAATGCTCCACATCGCTATAATCATCAGAGAAATGCAAATTAAAACCACAATGAGATATCACCTCACACCAGTTAGGATGGCCAACATCCAAAAGACAAACAACAAATGCTAGTGAAGATGTGGAGAAAGGAGAATCCTCCTACACTGCTGGTGGGAATGTAAGCTAGTTTGAGTTTGTGGAAAACAATATGGAGTTTCCTCAAAAAACTCAAAATAGAAATACCATTGACCAGGAATTCCACTCCTAGGAATATACCCTAAGAATGCAGGAGCCCAGTTTCTAAAAGACATATGCACCCCTATGTTTATCGCAGCACTATTTACAATAGCCAGGAATTGGAAGCAACCTAAGTGTCCATCAGTAGATGAATGAATGGATAAAGAAGATGTGGTACATATACACAATGGAATATTATTCAGCCATAGGAAGAAAACAAATCCTACCATTTGCAACAACATGGATGGAGCTAGAGGGTAATATACTCAGTGAAATAAGCTAGGCGGAGAAAGACAAGTACCAAATGATTTCACTCATCTGTGGAGCATAAGAAAAAGCAAAAACTGAAGGAGCAAAACAGCAGCAGACTCACAGAACCCAAGAATGGACTAACTGTTGCTAAAGGGAAAGGGACTGGGGAGGATGGATGGGAAGGGAGGGAGAAGCAGAATAAGGGGCATTACAATTAGCACATGTAACATGGGGAGTACAGGGAAGACAGTATAGCACAGAGAAGACAAGTAGTGATTCTATAGCATCTTACTTTGCTGATGAACAGTGACTGTAATGGGGTATGTGGGGGGACTTGATAATGGGGGGAATCTAGTAACCACAATATTGCTCATGTGATTGTATACCTTAATAAAAAAAAAAGTAAACACAAAAATGGCCTAAAAGTTCCAGGCAGCACAACAAGGATCCCTATAAAATATTCCATTTTTGGTTGCTTTTGTCTCAGCTCTTCTGATTTAATTAATTCTTGCATTTGGCAGTTGGGTTAAAAGTAAACAGGGGTTGATTGTGGTGATGGCTGCACAGCGCTGTGAATATATTAAAAACCATTGACCTGTACACTTTAAATGGGTCAGTTGTGTGGTATGTGAATTATATCTCAACAAAGTTGCTATTAAAAAAAAAAGTCAGCAGGGTGCTACCCCAGGCAAGGACCCAGGCTTATCTCCATAGGTCCACACGAGCCACTGCCTCTCATGCTCTTCCTGTGCCCTGGGGAAGGCAACAAGCTGCAGACCTGAGACAATGGCTGGGCTGGGAACTCAACCTGATGTGGCTCGGGCCAGCCTGGACCAACGCCCTTGCGTGAAGGAGTGCGCCACCACCAGGAGCCCACAGAAGCTCACCTCCAGTCATTGACTCACTAAAGCATTATTGAGCCCAAGGCTGAGCAGCTACCGGGCAGATGGGGCACAGCATGGCAGAGCTCAGCAAACCCGGGTGGGGTGAGCCGTGGCCCTGCCCTTGAGGACACAGGGTGGGCAGTGGCGATGACACACCTGACACAGAACAGCAGGTAACTGCCAGTGTGTGAGCCGGGGCTGCAGGGACGAGGGCAGTCAGGGCACCAGGCCAGAGGTGGGTCTCAGGGTGCTGGCCCAGGCCCTCCCCAGTGCACACACAGAGTTCCTCTCTCCCCTGTCCCAGCAGATCCCTCTGGGGCTGCAGCTCTCTGGTGTGTCCTGGCTCTCTGAAGGCAAGGAGACCCATCCTCCACAGTGCTGGTCAGCAGTCTGGGACCTACTTCAGTCTTCAGATCTACTTTCCAAGCAGCATGCTGGCAGTTTTAAGGGCATCAATTTTCAGATCCTCAAAATCTGTATATTCAAGAACTGCCTGAATGGATCAATGACCAAATAAAAACAGAGATCAAGCAATATATGGAGACAAATGACAACAATAATTCAACACCACAAAATCTGTGGGACACAGCCAAAGCTGTGCTAAGAGGAAAGTATATTGCAATACAGGCCTACCTCAAGAAAGAAGAACAATCCCAGATAAGCAGTCTAAACTCACAATTAATGAAACTAGAAAAAGAACAACAAATGAGGCCCCAAGTCAGTAGAAGGAGGGACATAATAAAGATTAGAGCAGAAATAAATAAAATTGAGAAGAATAAAACAACAGAAAGAATCAATGAAAGCAAGAGCTGGTTCTTAGAGAAAATAAACAAAATAGATAAACCCCTAGCCAGACTTATCAAGAAAAAAAGAGAGTCTACACACATAAACAGAATCACAAATGAGAAAGGAAAAATCACTACGGACACCACAGAAATACAAAGAGTTATTAGAGAATACTATGAAAAATTATATGCTAACAAACTGGATAACCTAGAAGAAATGGACAACTTTCTAGAAAAATATAACCTTCCAAGGCTGGCCAAGGAAGAAACAGAAAATCTGAACAGACCAATGATATTGAACTGGTAATAAAAAACCTACCTAAGAACAAAATGGCTGGACCAGATGGCTTCACAGCTGAATTTTATCAAACAATATGTATATCAAACATACCCATTCTCCTTAAAGTTTTCCAAAACATAGAAGAGGAGAGAATACTTCCAAACTCATTCTATGAGACTAGCAACACTCTAATACCAAAACCAGGCAAAGACACCACAAAAAAAGAAAATCACAGACCAATATCCCTGATGAACATAGATGCAAAAATACTCAACAAAATATTAGCAAACCGAATTCAAAAATACATCAAAAAGATCATCCATCATGATCAAGTGGGATTCATCCCAGGGATACAAGTATGGTACAACATTCGAAAATCTATCAACATTATCCACCACATAAATAAAAAGGACAAAAACCATATGGTCATCTCCATAGATGCTGAAAAAGCATTTGACAAAATTCAACATCCATTCATGATAAAAACTCTCAACAAAATGGGTATAGGGGGCAAGTACCTTAACATAATAAAGGCCATATATGACAAACCCACAGCCAACATTATACTTAATAGTGAGAAGCTGAAAGCTTTTCCTTTAAAATCGGGAACAAGACAAGGATGCCCACTCTCCCCACTTTTATTCAACATAGTCTGGAGGTCCTAGCCACGGCAATCTGACAACACAAAGAAATAAAAGGCATCCAGATTGGCAAGGAAGAAGTTAAACTGTCCTTGTTTGCAGATGACATGATATTGTACATAAAAAACCCTAAAGAATCCACTCTAAAACTACTAGATCTAATATCTGAATTCAGCAAAGTTGCAGGATACAAAATTAATACACAGAAATCTGTGGCATTCCTATACACTAACAATGAACTAGCAGAGAGAGAAATCAGAAAAACAATTCCGTTCACAATTGAAAAGAATAAAATACCTAGGAATAAACCTAACCAAGGAAGTGAAAGACCTATACTCTGAAAACTACAAGACACTCATGAGAGAAATTAAAGAAGATACCAATAAATGGAAACACATCCCATGCTCATGGATAGGTAGAATTAATATTGTCAAAATGGCCATCCTGCTTGAAGCAGTCTATAGATTCAATGCAATTCCTATCAAAATACCAACAGCATTCTTCAACGAACTAGAGAAAATCATCCTAAAATTCCTATGGAACCGCAAAAGACCCTGAATAGCCAAATCCTGAGAAAGAAGAATAAAGCAGGGGGATTTACGCTCCCCAACTTCAAGCTCTACTACAAAGCCACAGTAATCAAGACAATTTGGTACTGGCACAAGAACAGACCAATAGACCAATGGAACAGACTAGAGAGCCCTGATATAAGCCCAACCATAAATGGTCAATTAAGATATGATAAAGGAGCCATGGATATACAATGGGGAAATGACAGCCTCTTCAACAGCTGGTGTTGGCAAAACTTGTCAGCTACATGCAAGAGAATGAAACTAGATTATTGTCTAACCCCATACACAAAAGTAAGCTTGAAATGGATTAAAGACTTGAATGTAAGTCATGAAACCATAAAACTCTTAGAAGACAACATAGGCAAACATCTCCTGAATATAAGCATGAGCAACTTCTTCCTGAACCCATCTCGTCAAGAAAGGGAGACAAAAGCAAAAATGAACTCATGGGACTACATCAAACTAAAAAGTTTTTGTACGGCAAA